TATATGTATATATATTTACTTATCCATTCATACATAAATGTGTGTATGTATGTATGTATGTATATATATATATATATAATATATATATATATATATATATATAATATATATATATATATATGTATGTATATGTACACACACTATGTCTCTCTCTCTCTCTCTCTCTCTCTCTCTCTCTCTTCTCTCTCTCTCTCTCTCTCTCTCTCTCTCTCTCTTCTCTCTCTCTCTCTCTCTCTCTTTCTCTCTCTCTCTCTCTCTCTTCTCTTCTCTCTCTCTCTCTCTCTCTCTCTCTCTCTTCTCTCTCTCTCTCTCTCTCTCTCTCTCTCTCTCTCTCTCTCTCTCTCTCTCTCTCTCTCTCTCTATCTATATATATATATATATATATATATATATATATATATATATATATATATATATATATATATATATGTATCTATGTATGTATATATATATATATATATATATATATAGTATAAAGCGAAATTAACTGATACATGGAAATTTATATAAAATTACTTTCTTGATTTTTTTGCCGTTTTTTTCACAATAGCCACACGAACGATAAATACGGCAGTAGTTGATAATCAGCGAAAATGATTGACACGGAAGGCGACAATAAACACAATGAAGACACCACATCGAGTCATTTCCGGTCCTGCTACAAAAAAAGACCGATAACGAGAAAAAAAAACACACGAAAAGAGAAGTAAAAGAAGGGAAAAAAGAGGAAAACAAACGGACTAACGATGTGAAAAGCAAATTGTTCACTTGAGGTGTCCCCCCACCCCCCTACCCCACCTCCTGGTGTGTGTTTACCTTCGTCATTTGTGGAGGTTTGGTTGCGCGCGGTCCACCCCCCCCCCCTCCACCCCCACCAAGGTTGATTATGTCGGTTGGTTCTCTGAAATTTTAGTTTAATTTTGGTTGCTGTCCTTTTTTTTTTTATTTTATTTTGTTTTGTTAGAATTCTTTAAATGCAAATCCGAATTTCTCGAATGTCATTTTCTGTGTCGGTGATTCACGGTGATGACTTTGCGTTTAACCGAATTCCTCTCGAACAGCGATATCCCGAAGGACTTGTTTATTCCTCCCAAACAGCGCGTAAGATGAAATTCCCCCCAAAATGCCAATTAAAACCCTCAAGGGCTTCCGCAGCATCAATTAGCCATCGCATCTCCATCGAGCGGAGCAATTTTCCGGCCGAGACGCCATCCTCACGGCCACTCATGGCGGGGGGGGGGGGGGTCCATCGACGCGCCACCCTCCCCGTCTTCCGTTTCGGCGCCTACTGACGGGCGGGTGTGGGCGTGTGGGCGGGGCGCGGAGGTGCGTGCGGGGTAGACGGGGTGGGCGGGCTTCCTCTGTTCTCCTCTTCTCCGCGCCCATCGTCATCCTAAGCCCATTATCTCCTGAGGAGGGCGTGAAGCTCGGGTTTTGTGGGGCGTGAAGCAAGGCCGACTGCGTATAGATATAAGAATAGGGATGAAGGAAGACGAGGAGGAAGGAGGGAAGTGGGAGGAAAGGAGGAAGAGGAGGAGACAGATAGAAGTGAGAACAGGTGGAGGAAGATGGAAGAGAGAGCTTGAGGAGATAGAAATGAGAACTGGTGTAGAGGAAGAGAAGAAGGAAGGCGGGAGTAAGAGATGGAGCAGAGGAATAGGATAAAGAAGGAAGTAAAAATAAGGGCTACTGATGGTAAACGAAAAGATGAGAATAGGAGTAAAGAAAAAGAAATTAATGAAATAATCAGAATGACGGTTAAAGACTAGGGAGGAGAAGACACGGGGCGTGGGCGAGTTGGGCGTGAAACCTCAGAAAATCGGACATAATTGGGGATTTTAAGTTAGGCCGATTTATGGACAAAGCATGCTGTATGGCAAAGGTGCGTGACGTTCATTACCTTTAACTGCGGATTTTTTACTGTATATTAACCTCGTTTTCATTCTTTTCTGTGCGAAAACTAGGACGTTTCCGTTTGTCAATAATCAGATATAGTTTCTTTTTTCATAGGAATTATCATTTACGTTGATAATGCGACACATATATAATCAATCCCGTTTAATCATGATAATACATAATGAATAGACGCTTTGTAAATTAAAAAATAAATGAAATATCAACAGTCAAGACATACGTATATTTGAACATCAGTAATAACTACACATTATAGAATGTAAAGAGACAAAAGTAATTAACTGCAAACAACCACAAAGAATGATAAACAAAGAAGCAGTCCGTCCCTTAACATGCTCACCGCACCATCACCAGAGCGTTTAAATTATTCATATTTCCGGGTTGGATATTAGATAATAATAAAAAAAAAAAGATACTCGCTGCGTATTTCATGCTTGTATATTTCAGAGGGATTTTGTTCGCTTACATGACGAGAGCCGGATTTGCTCGCTGGATTCACCAAGCGTTTGATAAAATGGTCAGTGGTTTTATTACTGGGATAATGAGAACTTCCTTTGTATTGTATCGCTGTTAGAGGACCCGGTTATAGAAGAGCGTTCTCGAGGCTGCTCTTTTGTTATTTTCATTTTCGTTATCATTATTTCCATCATCAGAACAGTCATATTTGTTATTGTTAATAGTATTGATATGATTATTGCTTACGTTATAGATCTTTATATATCTTTATCTTATAATGTAAATTTTATTATTTGTGTCTTTATCATTATTATTGAAAATATTAGTATTATCACCATTATTAGGATCATTATTAACGTTATATTAATACTGCTTCATTGTCATTATCATCATTACTATTTTTGCTCTCATTATTATAATTATTATTTATTATAGTACACCGTCAAGATAATTATGAATATATAGTAACTTTTATAGCTTGAAATGAAGAGGAAAGCCTTTGGCTACGCATCAGAATCTCACTGACGTGCTTTGTCGCGAGCAGGGCGTTATCCGATACGCCCGCAAGAGACATATGGCGTGGGCGTTGAAGATGAGCGATATAAATAGTTGTCGAGTCCGTGCTTCAGATGAGAAACGATTTTATTTTCTGGATTATTATGAAAAGACGTAGATTAATTTGATATTAAGGCGATTTTATTTTATCATGGTGTTGTTATGTAGTTATATCTATTTTTTCAATCATTCTTTTGTTCATAGATTTATAGACACGTTCCTTGTAATAATCATTTTTATCATTTTCGTTATCAGTTTCATCCCTTTGACAGACGAAAAATCACTCGTCGCATTATCAGACATCATCAGTAACCTCCCTGTTTTGCATACGACCGCCCTCCTTTGTGGCTATAATTGCAATCACATTTCATCAGCAGCGATCAATCAACGGAATGGCCGTGTCCAGTGCAGTCAGAATGTTGGCAGCGGCCTGCCTTGTGGTGTCAGCAGTCGGGATGCGCAGACTGGGCGACTGTTCTTCAAGTGCTGACTGCGGACCTGGCGCCTGCTGTACAGTAGGTGAGTGTCATCATCAAAAGCAGTCTGTAGCTGTCAGTGGTTCAGATTCCATTGTTGTGTAGGAATGTCGAACTTCAAAAATACGATGTTCCAGTGCTAAACTGACGTGACAGGGAACAATACAGACTCTTGCTGTAAGGCATTTTCTATATCCATCCACGTACTAAGGACGGTCTTTGTTCAGCAGGCTTCAACCGCTACAGCGTGCCGCAGTGTACTCCCCTGGGCGACCTGGGGGACTGGTGTCGCATCATGAACCCCCCGCGGGAGCTGAATCTTGCGTACCCCAACGGCCTTCAGGTGAGACTCTCGCTCTTCCTCTCTTGAATTCATCTTGATTTCGGATTTCTAGTGAAACAAATGGTGATGCTGACCGGTAAATGAATCAGCTGGGTCGATAGAATTCAGTATTTTTGTCATATCACTTCATGGACTTTGTGAAGTTACGAACCTTTACGCCCATATTGCAGATTGTCCTTACGGATACATACCACGGAATGTGTCCCTGCAGACCTGAGCTCGTCTGCTCCAGGGCCTCGTCGACCTGCCAGTTGCCGAACGAGAGCACGCTGGACCAGGAGGACAACTCGCTCTACAGAGATTAATCGGCTGCGCTTTAAGCGAGCTGAGAGCTGCGCAAGTAAGCTCAATCCAAAGGGAAAGATTTCTCTAAAGACAAAACCCAAAAGGCGTGACAGAAGACCCAAGTTCTTGCACACAGAGACGAGTCGCCTTCGTGTTCCCCGAACCTCCAGTCAGAGGTTTTGTATTGCATATCAGCTTCCTCTTCCGCGTTACTATATCTGTACCTGTTACTTCACTCCCGTGCTTCGAATCTAGATTTTGGTTTCGTCTGTGAGGAAGTTCGCTGAAGTTAGGGCCCTTTGTCTCCCTCTTTGTATACGGAGTAGTCATACTCAGCACATGTGTGTGTGCATCAGAATATGTCACACATTATTGTGTCATTACATGAAGCATAGCCTCAAATATCTATGAGTTTTCAAGCAACTTTTCCAATGAGCACGCTAATGAAAACAAGACGTTATTTTTTTGTTTTGTTTTTGTTTGACTGGTGTTGCTCATTGAGTCATTCAAAACCATAGTTTTTTGTGGCTGTTTTATGGCATATATCTATATACAAGATGCATTTAAAACAGTTGCAGTACCTTGGAAGCTGAGCTTGATAGGTATTATTTCATCCGCTTTCTAATACAGAGTATATACGAAGTACAAACGCATATTTAAACAAGAAATTGGATGCAAAAGAATCATTCTTCGGTTGATGTTTACTTGAACAACACATCAGATGGAATGTGCCATGTTATAGTTGACGTTGTAGGTTCTGAAGTAGTGGGAGTGTGTTGATGAAAATACCAGAGCATTCTTAGCAGCGAGATAAACGTTTTCCCGTTATATGTAAGCACACTAATATTATATACTTTTGCTTTATTGCCTTTTTGTATGATATTCCCAGCACCTTGAGGCTGAGGAGGTACCAAAGATAGCCTTCATGGGCATTTGATAATGTATTTATGAAATAAACAATAGCGACATGACTTTTCTTTCCTTTGTGCCTTCGTGACGTGGCTGCTGACTTGCTGCTGTAACTTGGTGATTGCAATGAACGCCACGGCGTAACTTGCCTTTATACAGCATGTATGTGTACAGGGGGTCCTCGACTTACGACGGAGATCCGTTCCTATGATGTCTGTACGAGTTGCCCTGGATATATATTCTTGTCCACTACCTCTAGCGCTTCACCTTGTACATGTATCTGTTCGAATTGAACTCTACTGTCGAACATGACTTTAGTCAGTTTCTTGTTCATCCTAAATCCAACTTTCAGACTTCTATTCAGATCGTTTATTAATTGCTGCATTTTATTTGCTGATTCAATGAAGAGAACAATATCGTCTACAAATCGTAACTCGAATTTTGGCGAAAGTCTAAACACACCTAAATACAGTACATGTACATACATACATAAGCACCGGTCACATATGCTAATGCAGGATGTATACTTGTATTAAAGTCATAATCTAAAGCAAGGATTTGTTGTTCCGAGTATATCTTGTCTATCCCTAATCCAGAACCCACTGTGGAGACATACGAAAATTACCTAAATGGAAATAAAGAAGCAGACATTACATATTTAGCCTTTGCAAAAGCTTTCGATATTGTATATCGCAGAACCTTCCTCCGCAAAATTAAGGACCTTGGAATCGGAAGAAAAAGTAAGAGCATAGAGACACAATTTTTTAATAAATCACAAAGATTAATGGTGATTGGGCATTTCTCAACTGTTAAAACTAGTGTCACAAGGGTCAGTTCTTGGACCTTTGTTGTTCCTAATTATGATGGGGGCAGTGATAGAAATTTTAATACTCCAGAGTAACATTTGCTGATGATACACATATAAGTACACCTTCGAGTATATTACATGAAGATGGCAAACTGGAAGATGATCTACATGTCACACGTAACTGGGTAAGTGAAAATTATATGAAACTCGAAATCATTAGGTATGCCCCAACAGTCAAGACCATGATGAGACTCTGTTGAGCGAGCACAAAGCACTGCCTTGTTATAAAAGACCTAGGACTGTCTGTACGTAATGGCATGGAATTTAGTCATCATGCTGAGAGGTAGATAAATTATGAGAACTTTTCAAACAAGAGATCCAGAGCATCTATAAACCACTAGCACAGGCTTTTTCAGTTTTCACCCGAAAAATAGACAGCGTGACAGGTCATGATTAATGGGAAAGATTTTTGAATATCGTTTTTATTTTTTCAAAGAAAAGCACATAACTGTATAGCATTAAAATTCCTCGAAAATTTAAGACGAAATCCAAGAGAGTGAATTAGAATATGATATATACTAGACGGAAAAACCGTCATATTGGGATCAATGTTCAAGCATCTCTGTGAAGTGAAATGCATAATCAGTGTCTCTTGATTTGTGTCAAAGCTGCTTGATATTGTGCTAAAGAATATTACAAACATAACCTTCACTGCAGAAATGCTTAAAGAACAGATGAATAGCTCTTAACCTCAAGTTCAGTTCGTAGTAATAGAAAAGACGAGCGGCCATAATTTGTTTCAATTTACATTAATGAAATCCATATAGTTAAATCTATATGCTGTGTGTGTGTAACACACATACACACACATAAATACACAAAAAAACATATATATATATATATATATATATATATATATATATATATATATATATATATATATAATATAATATATATATATATATATATATTATATATACATTATAAAGGGTGCAATACATGCAATACCTTATACTGCATTCATATCTACTGGGCCGCATGGTCACCACGTGGCAGCGTGCCACGCTGGTAACTCACGCTCCCTGCCTGCCCTCGCTGAACCTAAAAACCACTCCGCCAAGGGGTATATGAGGTCATCCAAGCTGAACCTCATGCTCTCTCACTCTCTGACGGCCGCCCGCCCTAGCAGGGCGTGGGGCACACACTCGCACCTCCTGATCGCTCCTGACCTGAGTTGCCGCTCCTGGCCCTCCGGCCGGAAGTTCCACACAGTGCCGTTCTTCGTGTATCGTTATTCTTGTGTATGTGTTGTAACTCTTAGAAAAAAGAGATCAGCTATTCAGTGTATCACTGACGCCACCTGTAATTCAACTACACTATAAACAAGAGGTGTTAGACACTCTTATAGTTCATATATATAATTTATAAACATACATACATATATATATATATATATATATATATATATATATATATATATATATATATATATGTATATATATATATATATATATATATATATATATATATATATATATATATATATATATATATATATATGTTGTGTGTATGTACGCATGTTTGTATGTACAGTATGTATTTACATCATCAAACTGCACATATATATACATTAATATATATATATATATATATATATATATATATATATATATATATATATAATATATATATACATATATATATATATATATATATATATATATATATTATATATAATATATATATATATATATATAATATATATATATATATATATATATATATATATATTATATATATATATATATATATATATATATAAATCATCATCATCATCAGCCGTAGTCAACCAACTGCTGGACGAAGGCCTCTTCCAATCTTTTCAAACCTTTCCTGTCTTGCGTTTTCTTTGTCCATCTGTCGTCTTGTCTCCGGCATATATGATGCTCCCGAGTATATCTTCCACTTTGTCTGTTCCCTGATCCACATCGCCCTCATCCGATCTCTTAGGCTAATTCCCAGCATCGATCTTTCCATCCCTCTCTGGGCACTTATTAGTTTCCGCTCCAGTAATTTGGATGTAGTCCATGTTTCTGATCCATAATTCAGAACTGGGAGGACGCATTGGTTAAAGACTGCTCTTTAATGACAATCACCTAATAGCAAGGAGCCTCTTAGTATGCTACTGTGTCCGCCGAAGGCGCTCCAGCCTAGACTGATGCGTCGCTTTATTTCTTCTTCGCTAGATGTGTTTGCCCGTACGAGTTGCCCTAGATATAATATATATACACTTATCCACTACGTCTAGCGCTTCGCCTTGTACATGTTCGAATTGAACTCTACTGTTGAACATGACCTTAGTCTTTTTCTTGTTCATCCTAAGTCCAACTTTCAGACTATCTCTGTTCAGATCGTTTATTAATTGCTGCATTTCATTTGTTGATTCACTGAAGATAACAATACCGTCTGATGCCCTTTCCGCCCCAGCCTAGTTTCTTGAGCATTTCCTCGAGGCAAGCTGTAAACAATTTTGGTGAGATGGTGTCGCTATCTTACACCTTTTTTAATTGATATTTTATCGGTTTCCGTGTGGACCTTGATGGTTGCTGTCCCATCCTTGTATATATCTTCCAATATTTTACAAGATAAAACCTCTACTCCCTGTTGTCGAATAGTACTTAATACTGCTGGTATTTGTAGAGAGTCAAATGCCTTTTTGTAATCGATGAATTCCATACACAGGGTTTAAACCCCTATATTCGTTTATTTTTTCTCTTAATTGGCTGAGCGTGTGGATGTGATTGTGTTGTGACTGATGTGTTGTTGAGAATCCACTGCGGAAGCTGCCTTTTCTCTAGGCTGGTTAGAATCCAGGGGCCGGATTCAGTAACATGATCGTAACGCATTTACCAGCGGTCATTTCCCATTGCGTTCACCAGTGATGGCAAAATGAGATTCACGAAGCAATGGTAACCCGCATCGACTGTTACAATCGCAAATCGACACATTCTAATGGTACCCAACTGAGGGCTCTAGTAAAGCAATCCCACCATTCAGCGAGCGCCATACACAATCCTTTAGGTTCCTTCGACCAATCACGTAACATGTAAACGGAACTACACACAGCGAGATTTCAAAAAACTTTTTCACAACTAAAACACCATTTAAACGTGTATAAAAAAGATTAGATCTATTTAATCGTTATCCATCATGTGCGATGTTATATGAATCGGAACCAATATAAACACTTATATTTATATATCATTGTTTAACGCAAACCAAAGAAACATTCCAAATAGCATTTATTTATTCATTTATTTCCCATCATTTTTAAACAAAGAACTGATCCAAACCAAAGTTTTATTCATCACCATTTAACGTCAAATAAAGAATAGTTTTCAAGCTCATTCTCGCACTTGCGCTTTTGAGTTTGTTGTCGTTTGGTTAAAATGCCAACAGACACAGTTGCTATACTCGTTTAACGCTGGTATTGCATGTTTATATATCAGCATGTAAGTTTTTTCTTGAGAATTTGTAATAATTATGTCAGAGAAGAATAATTATTCAAGAGTTATACTTATATATATATAGTACTTATATATCCATTCCATGCACTCTACAGTGTATTGTAGGCCTATGTCTACCTATAATATAACGAGAATTTGTGTGGATTCTTTTCTTGCTAGTTAATGTGAAATATGAATTTCTTCGCCATGTCCATATTGTAACAAGTTTAACATCATACTTATAAAATCAGGTATAAAAAGAAACCAAAAGCTTTGCATAGATATGGAGTTTTTGACGATATAGCACGTGGTTATATCGTCTTCCCAGGGAATACCACCGCTGTCTATTTACCATGGTAATTATAGGTACCTGTGATTTTACCATCGTAAGTGCGTTAATGAATCCGCCCCACCACCTCAGACTGTCAGAGATGCGAGCCGTGATGACTGTTGACAGTTTGTAAGTATTGCAATTTCTCCTGTATTTATGACAAGGTCTATACTAATACCGTCTTCACCTGGTGTTTTCCCTCACTTCATGCCTTGCAGCGCTCTTTTTATTTCTTCTGTTGTGGTGTTAGGTACGTCTCGAGTTACTGTGTTTGCTCCTATCTGTGGCTGTTCACACACACACACAGTTGAGTTGCACAGATATCTGTAAAAGTTTCCACTACTCTTATGATTTCATTCTTGCTATATGTTACTTCGTCTGGTTTCTTTATTGCATACATTTGATTTTTCCCTATTC